CGTGACGTCGCCAGAAACTAGGATCTCAAATTTCCGTCATATCAAACCTTTTCTAAAGAAAATTTCTGAATGAAGGTGCCACCGCGACTTTGAAGAAACCTCCACCGATATTTGAAGTCTCAGGTTCCACGACGATATGATATTGTAAAGGGTAGGAGGAGCTGCAACCTCACGCAACCGCCGACAACCTGCCGGCAGCTCGTCAAAATTTGCGAGTTGTTGTTGGAAAATTCCAGATTACTTGCATGGCTATCTGTTTAGCACTTCGCTTTGTTGCTTGCTATGTGACAAAAAGTTCATATAATGATCACGGCTACGTTGACAAAAGCAGGTTTCAAATCACATTTGGCCGAGAACCAAGAATATGTCTGCAGATTTGCAGAATCGTTTCTAGCAGCCAAGAAAAAGTCATTGACATTGCTTAACCATTGCTTATGGGTCCACTTTGAGAGTCTGAAGGTCATAAAGGTCGTAGAAAATCGTCGCTTGCCTGGATAAAACGTACAGCAGCGCGAAACGGAAAGATCGCAGTTTAGAAGCAATGAAAACTTTCATGCAGCTGTTTACTCTGCCTGACTCTTCGTTACGTTTTTTCCCTTATTGACTACTTGAGTATCTTATTGTTAGGTAGCCTTCAGACCGCGCTTGCCGCATTGCAAGCAGTAGCTATTCTTGCGCCGGCTGCCGCTTTTGCAGTTAAAGCGCCGTGGGCTAATCTCTCCAAGGCACGCCGTGGTAAAAAGTTTTTTGTTTTTTATTTTTTAAGCTAATCGCGCAGTTTTCTCTCTGTTTCTTCATTGCAAATTGGTTTTTTGAGGCATGAATAGTTGTTGTAGGTGATGCAGTCTTATTACTTGATTAAACTATGCAGTACCATATAGTTGCGCTCAAAGACATTGAACATCTGATTTGGGGAGCATCATTCACAAACATATAGAAGGACGCATATAATGAGGATTCACAAAAAAGAAAATATAGTTGTTTCATGCATTTCTCGATACTTACAATGAAAGTTATGATATCCCGGTGGATGACGCAATACAAATGAAAAAAATAAATAAAATAAAAATCTCGCAAAAGTGCATGCTTCATACATATTGGTGTACCACGAAGGAAAAAAAGCGCATAGCTTGCAAGAGATGTAACAGACAAGTGCAATTAAAGAGAAGGAAAAGGATGAAAACTATATGGCAACCCCAGTGGAGCGAGGGAGGTGCTCGGGGTATGTGTCGCTTATAGCGACGGTGTACGACGTCTTGGAGCAGCTATGTTCCATCACTCATGCCTCAAAATCAACATGCAATACATGAACAGAAAAAAATCTGTGAAATTAATATCAAGAAACGCCCGTGCCCCAAACAGCGCAACCCACGGCGCTGCGGCCGAAATAGCGGCAACCGCGCAGCTATCGGCTGCAGAAGCGACAGTCGGCATGGTTTGGAGGTTCCCCATCAAGACGCTCAAAGTTGAAAATGTGCCCTCTGCTGGTTTTGTCAACATGGGCAGCAGGATCGGTAGCATGCTGTGCAAGATTTCATCGAAAAAAACTTCAATTTCTATAGTTATTGCAGTATTGTAGCGGCGTGCAACATCGTAGCAACATTGTTTTTTTTGATAGTGCAAACGTTTCAAAATTTACTCATGAAAAATTATGTAGGTTGTGCTGGAAATTTCTGAGATACTCACCAACAGTTAGTCAAATTAAGTGTGATGCTGCCTCTTAAACTCTCGCCATAACTAACATAGCCTAGGAAACCCGTCACAGCATAAAGAATGGAGAGCATAACGACTACTCCTGAAATGACCCCACATGGTCCCAACATATCCTGTGGTTTTCGCATCTTGTTCTCCAAGGCTAACACCTAAAAAACTGCTCGTTATTGTAAGGTGATGTATGTGACATCGTAACTAACCACTGCATGTCCAACCAAAGCAAAGATTAGCGCACCCGCAGCTGATGTAGCTCCTTCTACTGATGTGAAAGAAGGCAATTCAGATACATGAGTGTGTGGCATAAACATCATTTTCTACAGCGATCAGGTGAAGGTTATTTGACGA